ATCATGGAACGCTTAGGCCGTATGTTACACCCTTCCGTCGGCATGGGCCGCAAGGCCTGGAGATGATCCCATCGCATCATGGAACGCTTAGGCCGTATGTTACACCCTTCCGTCGGCATGGGCCGCAAGCATTCGATGTAAGTGCTGGATCGTGTTTTTAATATGACTAGTGGGTGTGAAACTGCAAGATGTAACCAGCCTGCCCATTATTTCTGCATAGATGTTTTCGGCCAGGTCAAGAAGCCATTTGACGCCAGATGCCTGCAAGTAACATCGACTACGACGAGCCACCATCGGTATTAGTTGCTTCCTTTCCTATCACCATGATGTCTTACAAACCACAATCGCTATCCCCATTGCTGTTTGGGCGTGGGGATGGGGGTGCAGATGTGGATGGGAGTGGGGGAGGATAAGAAAATTTTCCCGATAGACTGATTTTGGAACTCACCTGACCTGTCCTTAGATTCTGATCTCTCCTCAGATTAGGCCACTGTAATCTTGCGCTCCGATGGAAAACGAAAAGAGAGATTCAGCGAATTGACTGTTATTATGAGTGACGCTTTGTATGTTTTCGAGGGGCTTTCCGGAGGCGTCACCTACTTTGCCCCCTGCCCCGCCCAAATACTGACTTGTCCCACTCCGTGCTTTTCTCTTGTGAGGACCCTGGCCCCACCAATGTCGAGTTGCCCCCCCCCCCCCCAATCTTGGCTTGGCCCTCAACATTTTTGCCTAAAGAATTACAGAGGCGTAAAGAAAATTTGGCCATCACGCAACGATTATCTTCTTTGATCCTTCCACGTAGTAGCGTCGCTATGGAGGGTGCAACGGGGTAGCTCTTTGTGACCTCAAAATGATGTCATCAAATTGGTGGATAACTTGATGCGCCGACGGCAAACCATGTTACATTTGACGGCTTTCTGTTTTGCCTATCCAACGTAAGCCCACGCGCTTCTTCTCCTCACAACCCAATCATGATCTCGACGTCACTAATTCACCCGTATCGTGGTCTCTCACGCCAAGCGACGTTTGGTCCCCTACCCATGGTGGGCTGAAAATCTAACACCTTTTTACTTCAAGTTGAAAATTGAACTGCTTTATTGCAAGGCCTCATGAGAAAACAGGATCGGGTAACCTATTTGGCGCCGCATCGCTCGTCCACAGCACAGGTCAAGTCCACGAACAAAATGGTGAACAACACGGAAAACAAGTATTGCGCCGGGACGGATTTTCGGCCTGATTTTCGCCGGACATGATTCGTTGTCAGCACCCTGAGCCGACCATCCCATTATTTTAATGTACGTTCAATGGATTCATATATTCTCGGTCGATTATGCAAGCACTACGAACGGACCTTTACCGCGTCATGCGCCCTCATGATGATCGCCTGCCATGTAACCAGGCTAGCACTATCAAGCCAAATGTCAAATTTCCCTCTTTCACGAACCATACGCGAACACTTATACTGGAAGGCGAACTTGTCACGAGCGTTTCGCCATGTCACGAATGGGGTCCGTATAACTTCAGCCCTCTACCGAAGTTGGGTTTTTGCCACGATGCTTGGTGTGCTTACGCTGCAATATAGTTCTTCTTACGGCATTTCACGAATTGCAGACAATTGGTTAGGAGAAAGCCGATGTCTGCAAACTGCCCCTTTACAATCTTTGTCAAGAGTTATCACCAGTGACCCAGAAAGCAATCAAGCATAGTTGAAGGGAATGTTCCACATTTGAAGATTTCGGAGCAGGCATCAGATATGATGTAACAAGCTTACTTATCACTACTGGCCCACTTTGAAGTGGAACACGCTGCCCAAGACTGTCAAATTTCTCTGTTACGTAAATGTGTTCCTCAATGCAGCTTTGCTCGATTATGTCATCGCACCATGCACAACACTGATTGAGAGCCAATTTGCGGCTGTTATCTGGAAATCATGTTCATGAACGCCAGATATAAACGAATCGTTAGTCACATTTTTCTTGATCTTTATCGTCGCATGGTCAACGGAATGCCAATGTTTGGATGACGTTTTATGGTGTCATGGATACATGGCTGACCTTGAGAAAGTCTCCCCGAAAAAGTATCCACACCTTCGCGATTGTGTTGGCCAGCACCTAGAAGGGTTCAGGTCTCAAGAAGCGCGGCGCTGTGAACTGCACCGAGTGATCTTCAAGCTGGCTATTTCAGTTCAAATATCCACACAAATCTGAAAGACTCCCTTTTAGCTCATAAATGTACGACACCATTAACTGGTGCAATGGTGTTGTTTTTGATAGTCCTTATTTTTGGTGCCTTATTGCGAGAAATTTTTAGCTTCATCCATTATGCTGTGGCCAAGACGTTTTTTAGCTGCGTTTTTTTACCCCCGTGGAATTTCACGGTTTATAAAGATACAGTTGCACTATCAGCGTCAGCTGCTGGACCCTGACTTATTTCGCTTACGCAGGTAGCAGAGTTGGCGAGTTTCGTACCATGTTTCGTGGGCTTTTAATGCCGCGTCTGGCCCAGTATTTCTGGAATATTGGCAAGATACGGCTGGAAATAATTCAACCAACGGCAGGAACAGAAATAAGGAAGCTGCACTCCATATATGTATGTATACAAGACTACATTGTCATTCGTACCGCATTTTGGATATTTTGCTTTTAAATTTTTAGTGCTTTAATTAAGTGTTTTAATAGTGGCAATAGTGTTTTAGCGCTTCAATTTTACCAACAGGGCCTTAGTGCTTTAATAAAGCCCAACAACAATGCAGGCACAACGGCGACGGAGAACGTGTAGTGAATAAATGGTACTGTGGTCCGAATGCATGATATGTGTAAAATGTCGGCAGGTCATTTGGGTGATGGGGATAGGCTAGAGCGATGGAAGGAGGGCCATGCGCCTACTTAGCTGCTTGAAAATTAGGCGCACCTGCCCTAGACTAATGAGTCAGCCCAATGGCAACAGTTTTCTTCCACCCTCGGGACTTGCCGGGGCTTCACGTTTAAACTCGATGTGCGGCTGGACTTGCTTTCCTCGACCCCAAAAAAACAACAACAACGAAGGATCTCAATAGCCAGGGCAGCAGAAAGCATGGCAGATTTCGAACCAGAGATAAGCGGCATTGAAAATAACGTCAAATATAGGGGCCTCCACGAGGCCATACCCCTTACGAAAATCACTTGTGCGCTTCGAGCCCCATCTCAACCGCCATCAAACAATCGACGATGCCTTATGCATGCTCCAAGCCTGGTGTGACATGTTCTGACTGGCAGACGCCTTTCGCCGCGCCCCAACAAATAAATTGTATCGAAATTGGTCAATAATTTCGCATCAGGCGGCTAGGTCTTTCTGAACAAGTTACTCGCCCTGACAGGATGCAGTGTAGTGTCAAATTGTCCTCTTTCACGAATCATATGCGAGCACTTCTACTGGAAGGCGAATCCGCCTCCACTGTTTCGCACCTGACAGGGGGTTGGAGGGTGGGCGATGCAAAGGTTGGAGGGTGGCAGGTTATTGGCACATGACAGGAGGTTGGAGGGTGGCAGGTTATTGGCACATGACGGGGGGTTGGAGGGCGGGCGATGCAAAGGTTGGAGGGTGGCGGGTTATTGGCACATGACAGGTGGTTGGAGGGTGGGCGATGCGACGGTTGGAGGGTGACAGGTTATTAGCACCTGACAGGAGGTCGGAGGATGGGCGATGCGATAGTTGGAGGGACAGGTTATTGGCACCTGACAGGAGGTTGGAGGGTAGGCGATGCGATGGTTGGAGGGTGACAGGTTATTATCACCTGACAGGAGGTTGGAGGGTGGACGATGCGATGGCTGGAGGGTGACAGGCTATTGACACCTGACAGGAGGTTGGAGGGTGGGCGATGCGATGGCTGGAGGGTGACAGGCTATTGGCACCTGACAGGAGGTTGGAGGGTGGGCGATGCGCCCCCCCCCCCCCGTTTTTCTGAGT